CTAAACTTACAGAGATTTCGCATTTAATTAGATGTTTTTGCTTCTTTTTTTGCTTCTCCTTTGTATTACCTTCTTTTGTATCTGAATATTTTTTGAAATCTATTTTTATTTTGAAAATACGTCATGGAGTGTAGTCGAGTGTGGTTGAGTAATCCCATCATTATTCTTACAGATGGAAATGAATTTCTTTTTACCTGTTTGTAGTACAATCACGGCATAATTACATGTTTCACGGTCTGTAATGTATGCGTACACATTGGTACGCTAATAATAACGATAAATGTAAATATTATTACTACTCAAAACAAGCAATACATATAATTAAATGAATAGGTACATGTGTAAACAGTAGAGAAATGAGCAGTAAATTTCTGTGTCACCCACTGGACGAGGTAAAGTAATGGCGAATGAGATAAGAAAAGTTTATTTAAAGCCTTTGTTTAAATGTTTACACGCTATTATTCTTGTATTACAGGCAATAAAAGAAAGCTTAATCTATTTGGACTAATTCATAGGCAAATGCAAAACAAAAACAATTGGCTAATCGGTAATCCTTTAGAAGTTGGAATTCTTTTATTATTTATTGTCCAATATTGCACCAAATGTCTAAGGTACCTAATCCGATCTGTCTTTAGCTTCAGTAATTTAAAACACTTATAAACTAAAACAAAACTAAAATCGAAAGGATTTGGAAAATATCGTAGTCCCGTCTTGCAATAATCCTAGAAACCGCGATCTACATCTGTTTAGAGATGACCGAGTACCCGGTTTGAATCCTGTACCCTGTATTTTTAGGGTCTAGCCGGATACCGGGTAATTCTACCAGAGAAAAAAACCAATATCATCAGCAATAACGTGGGTAGAAAAGGTTACAAATGAAGAGGTATTAGAAAGAATAGGAGAACAGCGAACTCTATAGAAGTCAATAAAAAATAGGCGAGGTAGGTTGGTAAGACACCTTCTGAGACATGAAGGCCTAGTCAGATATATATTAGAGGCAGAAGCAGGAGTTAGGAGGGATAGAGGTAGACCTAGGTTAGATTACTATTCGCAAATAGTTAAGGATGTGGGTTGTTCTCGCCAACCCAGTGTAGGTCACCCCTGTCCTAAGACTGGAAAAAACTTAAACTTTTGGGTGTTTCATTCCCACCAACCAGTTATGCTGGTGGGCGGGGAGTTCCTCCGGACTACATCGGAAGGTAGGGCGGAAGGCCCTCTTCAGCCTGCTTTCAGGAATCGTGGGAATGGGTGGGTGGTGGTTCGAATGAGAAAGTTGAGACGGACAAATGAAGACCGAAGAGAATGAAAGATTATCTGTGGAATATTACTGCCCCAGCATTTACCTAAGTGATCCAAGGAAACCACAGAAAAACTTGGACCATGGCAGACGGACCCGGAATCGAACCGGCGACCTCCCGAATGCTAAGCAATGGTCTAAACCTCTAGGCCATGCCGCTCGGTGACATCAGCAATAATGATTTAATAAGTAGATATAACAAAAAAACCTTATATTCTCGTTTTAACGGGTCCCCGACACAGCTAATTATCCCGATTATCCTCTACCCTGTAAAATTACTATCCGGTGAATTTCTATATCTGATAGTTTCAAATAATTTGCTTGCTTAATTTTCTCTAAATATCATGCAGTTGAGAGTCGTATCGTTTGAATTAAAACTTCAATTGTAACAACTTTTTTTGTATTAAAACTACGAAAAATTAGAAGCGATCGATAGTCGAATGAATAAAAGAACAGAACTTAACCACATAGGAAACTACGACGTCCAATTTGCATTTTTTAATTAGGTACTTCGTCGGAATGTAATGGCTTGTTGGTGTTATTACCCGCATTAAATAAACATTACCATTTAACTTTTTGTTTTATGTCTCTGGCAAACATTGTGATGATGGCCCAAAGGTAGGTTTTATTAGACCTTACTGAGCTCGTGTAAAACCTTCAAAAATGGTACTTTATTTACAAATATTACAATAATATATAAAATAAGTACTAAAATAATAAAAACCTTACGAAATTATAAACATACTTTTTGTATAATTATGTGTATCTGTATGCACGTACATACTCCTACGTAAGGTGACTAATAATGAGTAATGATGAAGTTTTCATGAAACTGCTGACGACATCACTGAAATCGCGCTAAATGTTTAAAAAATGCCTATGTTTTATCACCAAAGGAATTTGTAACAAGCAGTTACCAAATTTTCAACACCTGAGACGCAGAAAACCGAGGACTTCACTCATCCAGATAAATCTTGATAATCATCATCATCATCGTCCTCGTCAGACGCAAGACTGGTCGCACCGTCACATTTTCCTATCCAGAGCTAATCTTGGTATTCCGCCAACACTAGAACATCCCACATCCTTAACTATTTGTGAACAGTAATCTAATCTACGACTACCTACACTCCTCTCGACTCCTGTTTTTGCTTCTAATGTGCCTCTGACTAGACCTTCATGCCTTCGCATTTCCCTAAAACTAGAACAACTCACATTCTTAACTATTTGCGAACAGTAATCTAATCTAGATCTACCTCTACATCTCCTAACTCCCGTTTCTGCCTCTAATATGTCTCTAACTAGCCATTCATGCCTGAAAAGGTGTCCTATCTCGCCTATTTCTTATTGACTTCCATAGAGCCCTCTGTTCGCCTACTCTTTCTAATACCTTCTCATTTCTAATCTTCTTTATCCACGGTATCCTCACCAGTCGCCTGTAACACCATATTTCGAACGCTTCTAATCTTTTCTTTGTTTAATCAATTAATTAATCATGACATTGCATAAAGAATATCAGAATATCAAATTCTGGACACAGACGCCACGGTTTTATTAAAAAATACTACATTATTTGTAATGTATAAAGCGATAATAGATATGTAAAACTAAGAATAGCGCAAGATTAAGTCCCTCATTTATTGAGATAGAATACATGAAACCACATCTTTAAAAACATCATATGACGTCAGCTTTTATTTTGAAAGCACAGCTTTCAATTCATGGTTCTGTGTCTACACGTAACAAGTATATTATTCCCATCCCACATCCTCCCTGTGACGGATTTTGCTGAATCGTGGAATTTCAATGTATATGTGATTCCATAAATGCTTACGAATTTTCGTGAAAAGCTTTGCTGTTACAGAAACCAATAATACAGCCCCAATATTTGTAGCGCGTCAAATGTTTCAGATATATGCTATATAAATATATTTTATTTCTAATATTATGTTTCACATAAAAAGCGCCGCTTCGATTTTGTCTGCTTCGGATAGATAAAGAAGGAAAAATTGATAAATGATGTATGCAGCGTTTTCCCCTTGATAAGAAATTGCAATTACAACGCATTCGTTTAATCGGTGTGTTAGTTAGTCATTGATAAAAAATGAGGCATTTAAAGGCTTATCTTGGCGCAAATTAGTTCTGTACTATTTGATAGACAGCAAAAGATCGGTTAATAAACCAATTTACATACTATGCAAATAATATTTTATTAATTAATTTCCAATTCCACACGTACCGCACTTAATAGTAGGGCCAAACCTGGATTAGTAGTGGACTTGTCAATACTGGTCCAAAGTTTGGGCAATCCTCAAATACCAAGGCTAGGTTTATCACGTTTCGTCAAGTTTGGTCCAATACTGGGATCAGTCAAATGTGGGTTTGTCAATACTGAATCAAAATTTGGACAATATTCAAATACCCAAGGCTAGGTACATTAAGTTTTGTCAAGTTTAGTCCAATACTGAACAATCAAATGTGGGTTTGTCAATACTGAATCAAGATTTGGACAATATTCAAATACCCAAGGCTAGATACATTAATGTTTTGTCAAGTTTAGTCCAATACTGAACAATCAAATGTAGGTTTGTCAATACTGAATCAAGATTTGGACAATATTCAAATACCCAAGGCTAGGTACATTAATGTTTTATCAAGTTTAGTCCAATGCTGGACAATCAAGTATGGGTTTGACAATACCAGATCAAAGTTCAGTCAAGTTTTGAGTGTCAAGTCTAGGTATATAAAGGCAAGCTACATCCAACACTGGGCAACGAAGTATTGGCTAAGATGGAAAGTGACGCAGTTATCCAATCTTGGATTAATTTTGTTCATCATGTCTTGGCATAATAGCTGCCCAATTTTGAGTTAATATTGTCCACCAATTCTTGACCTACAATTCTTGGCTTGTGATAATTTTGGCTATCCAATTTTGGACTAATATTGTTCATCAGTCTATTGACTGTCCAGTCATGGATTAATATTGTTAACCAAGCCCTGACTATCCAGTCGTAGACCAAAGCTACCAACCAGGCTTGACGCGGGGTGAAAAACTAGGCATTTGTCATGCTTGGTCCAAAATTGGTTGCCAATCTCGGATCAAAATTGAACAATAACGGTCTAAGTTTGGACCAAGCTTGGTCCTATTGTGATTTCCTACATGGAAGATTTCTTTCATACAATATAAATCAAAAGGTTTTACCAACTAAAACAGCCATTTCACTTACTAAAGTTTTATTAGATGAATAAAAAGCGTTCCGAATTCATATTAGTATATCTGATTTAGAATTTATTTTAACTTTCATTCTCAAGAAGGCGTTTATGTAAGATAAGTGCATACCTAGTAGTAGTAATTTCACGTCCCTTTGAGCTCTGTAAGCATCCTCTTTGAGTTCCTGATCGATTTTTCGGTTTCGAGCCCTAGCAGCCCTTTCCTCCGCCGATATCGTGCACCCCATAGTTTCACGTCCTTTTCACTACACCACCCCACACAGTATCCCACCAACGAACGTCAATAGTCTGTAAGTCCTAGACAACTTCCTCTATGACTACTTTGAGTACATGTCATTACGTTATACATGCATATGAATGTTTGTGTGTATATATATATAAGCATTGACTACACTTAATCACACTCGTGTTTCAATGTGGTTATTTTTTGTAATAATTCTATTTCTGATTAAAGGGGTAACTATGTACTTTTTCATTCTGAAATGTGACAATAGACACGTTTAAAAATTAAGGTCAATTTAGTATTGTGCCTGTTTAAATAGTACTAGTTATGTTATATTGTATGCAGAGTCCCACCGTAGCGTTAATAATTCGCAACTCAGAGTAAGGACTGCAGTGAAGTACTAATACTGATGTAAAATAATTCGTAATTATGATTGACAATTTACATATGAAAATACGAAGTCGTTTATCAACTTTTGAAGGTCAATCGTAATTAGATCTCTAGAAATTCGAAAAAGATTGTTAAAGGTCCTTGTTCGGAGCACGGCTCTTTACGGGTGCGAAACGTGGATAGAGGACGTGGGGGACGGGTGGAAATAAAAGGTTAAAACCGTTCGAAATGGGTAAAATGAGAAAGTATTAGAAAGAAATAGAAGAGAGGAAGTCAATAAGGATAGGCAAGATATGTAGGTAGGACATCTTCCTAGACATGAAGGGCTAGTTGAGGGCATACTTTTAAGCAGACAAGAGTTAAGAGGAATAGAGGTAGACCTGAATTAGATTACTCTTCACAAATTGGTAAAGAATGTAGGATGTTCTAGTTTCAGGGAAATGCGAAGATAAGTTCAGGATTGGAAAGTGTGGAGGTGTATGTAGTCTCGGAACTGTGCATATGCATTTTTTCTAGCTTGATCTTTAGAGATTTATGTTTATAGAAATAAAAACAAAGAAAAATAAACAACATTACTCATAAACCGAATTTATCTGCATAAACATGCGTATTTTGTTAAGGATTCAAATTTTCTGACTTTGTACATGTATTGCATAATGTAAACGGTTTTTAATACCCGCGTCCCGGCGCTCCGCGCCGCATACTTATATTATATGTCCATGTTCCGCAGTTGGAACTTGTGTTTGAGTTATTACCGACGATAGGGGAGCGATCGTTCTATTTTTGAATGAATGTACATAACCTCGAGTATATTCTTGAACATTTGGTTTCATTTCGGTTAAACTTAGAAATTAACTAGACTAATATCGACCGTGACCCAACGCTCCAAGTGACTACATGATTTAAAAGTCGGAAAATCCATCCCGAATGTAACGAATGCATTACGAAAAAACTCATCTGAACAGTAAATCAGTTCTGAGGCAGTTTTTTTTTTAAATTTATTTCAAACTTTTCTCGCTAGATGTTCGACGAAGGTCAATGCGTTCACTGTATTTGTAACAACACGCATACATTGTTAATCGTTAATTGCAACAAATTAATGTCTGATTCACTGCTTCACAGAGCAATTCTTTTTATATAAAAGGTAACGATTTGACGATAATAACGTTAAGTTTAATAACTAATTTGAAAGATACATTGTGTCACCGATTAGAGCTTTTATGTGGTAATAAAATGGTTATTTTATACAACGTCTAATTATCTTTGCCATTAGCATCTTATTTACCACGACCATGTAGGTAAGTAACTGTGGAATTTTTTTAGACAACAAAAAAATATTAGATATTTCTGGAGATGTAAAGAGCACAGGGGGACCTTTTACGTTTTCATTTGTTCATTTTTTAACTTACAAATGTAATTTATGATTAAAAGATTTCTCACTAGTCTCACTACTGCTCAAATTTCACGTAAAACTGAGCAACAATAGTAATTCACATGCGTCGACGCAAATTAGAAAAGTAAACGTTCAACTATTGGAATTCGCACGGCCAACTTATTGTCATCCAGTGTCACTGTCACAAACTGAACAATGAAATGTTCCTGTCTCTGCAATACACATTTGGTTTAAGTAAGCTAATTTAGCTGTGACGCTTCCCAGTTATGCGGGACACTCTCAGTTTCCTCTGGCATCCGGACGCCGCGCAGCTGGGCACCGCTAGATTTTCGCGACGCTGGTCATCGCGTTGTCCGCTTGTTCGTCTTTTTTTTTTTTTTTTAACTGAACCTGATCGTCCGCATAAAACAACTCGCCATGTACGAGATAGTGCACGATTTAAACAACGCCATCACGTGGTTACCGCTAACGTAAAACTAAAATGTACATTGGAGCATCAGTTGTTAGATCCTCTTCAAAATGCACATGCTCATGCTATACTTATAATCTAAGTGTGTACACATATGTTACACGCGACTTCATTACGTGTGTACATAATATGCATATGTGTACGCATATGTACGTCTGACTCATATGTTATGTACCTACATTACTACCAAAAATATAAAATACAGTAACGAACGTTCAGCCGAGCGTCAGTGTAAGTTTTGCAGGAGGTGGTAGGTAATCAGTGAAGACTGACATTGAGGTTTTTTTTTCATTATCAGAAATTTTTTTGGCTGCAGTTTAGTACCAGCAAGGACTTCCAGACGCACAAACCTCACCTATACATGTAGGGATGACTCTAAAGTCTCTCAAATAAAATACATTTTGCACTTAAACTACTAATCAATTTTCAGTAATTATTTATTCTTCAACAACATTACTATATCGCTCACTAAATCGCTTCTTCGCCTTTCTTGTTTCTCCTTCTGTCGCCTGGTAGCTAAAATTGCCCTCTTTTCTAAAAAAACTTTTGGGTGTTTCATTCCCACCAGCCACCAATGCTGGTGGACGGTCCGGTCCCTCTGGACCATGTCGGAAGGCCCTCTTCAGCCTCAGCCTTCAGGTTAAGCGGACGAAATGAAGACAGAAGAGAATCAAAGATCATCTGTGGAATATTACTGCCCCATGATTTGCTTAAGTGATCCAAGGAAACCACAGAAAAATTTAGATCAAGGAAGACGAAGCCGGAATCGAACCGGCGTCCTCCAAGCAATGGTCTAAACCTCTAGGCCACGCCAATCGGGCCCTCTTTTATACCTTGCGGCAGCTATTTGTAGGTGCTGGACTTTTTCTAGTAAGATTCCATTTCAAAGTGTAAGTTCTAGAGAAATCTGGCCTTGCTATCTCGCCAACCCAGTGTAGGTCACCCCTTTCCTAAGACTGGAAAAAACTTAAACTTTTAGGTGTTTCATTCCCACCAGCCAGTTATGCTGGTGGGCGGGCAGTCCTTCCGGACTATGCCGGAAGGTAGGGCGGAAGGCCCTCTTCAGCCTGCTTTCAGGAATCGTGGGAATGGGTGGGTGGTGGTTCGGCTGAGAAAGACGAGACGGACGAAATGAAGACAAAAGAGAGTGAAAGATTATCCGTGGAATGTTACTGCCTCAGCATTTGCCTAAGGGATCCAAGGAAACCACAGAAAAACTTGGACCAAGGTAGGCGGACCCGGAATCGAACCGGCGTCCTCCCGAATGCTAAGCAATGGTCTAGACCTCTAGGCCATGCCGCTCGGTCTAAGACTGGATGGACATACACCCCTATTCTTTCCTATTCTGAGCTAATCTTCGCATTTCTCTAAATGTAGTACATCCCACATCCCTAACTGTTTGTGAACAGCAATTTAATCTATCTATGTTTACCTCTATTCCTCTTAACTTCTGCATCTACTTCTAATATGTTTCTAACTAACCGTACATATTTTAATGACTGTAATTTATTGCGAAGTATTTATTAAATTTAATACTTATTCATATTATTTTTAAGTTTTAGGATTGGACAATGTTAAGCATTTTTCTACCAGTTTAGTGTTTTATTAAATGTTAAATTCAAAAATAGTTAATTAATCAAAGACTTAAAAAATGGTAAATATCTAGGAAACGAACTGTTTAATTACTAACCACGATAACGTGGTGTCTTCTTCTAAGCAGATGTTCTCTGCGATGACTATTACCAATGCACCCTCCATACAACCTATATGGATGACTAATTTTTACATGTATTAATTCCAATTTGCCATCTGTATGGTATATGGTAAAATTTTTTACTTATTGCAGCAAAACAATATTTCGCATTAAATAAATAAATGCATCGTCGATAGTGAAGAATTTTATATTTAATCGGTTGTTTCGTGTAAGTACCTCATACACGTTCATTTCATGATTCATGTGTTCCTTTATTGCTTCTTAGAAACTTTTACTTGCATTTTTGCGATAGAATCTCTATTTGTTCGTTCTGATAAACGCAGAAATTCTATTGCACAGAAAAATAAAATAAAGTGAGAGAATTTGAACTAATGCGGTCATACGACAGCTCAATTTGTCATTCGCTGAGATGATATAACCATTTTGAGCGTAAGAAATCCCACATGGACTGTAATTCATCTGTTATTAAGCCATTCAACATCATTTCAATAGACGAAAGTATGCATTTACCTACACGTCCTCTTTGTTTCGTATCAATTGCCAAAATTCATTAGACTTTAATTCTTACAATTTTTAATCGATTCTGAGATCGATTAATTACATCAGTCGTCAACAGAATCAATTATATGAAGCAACAAACTCCTTATTTAAATTACCCATCTACAAAAATTAACTAGAACTTATAACTACAGCAATAGATTGATTCCGACATCAAAATATGTCTATTCGTGATGGAATCATGATAAATAGGAAATTATATACCTACAAAGGGAACCCACTGAAAATGTTCACATGTTGCAACCAAAAAATGTCTTTGATCGTTACAATCTTAACCCAACAATTGTAGATACGATCCACAATTGTAGCCTCTACTAGCCACGTTATCAATGCAAAAAATTTTGTACATTAAGATAGTCTGCCATTATTGCTAATCATAATCAAACCTTAGTCCTTAGTGCATAGTATCCCTGACGCACTGTATTTCGAACACCTCAATAATAACAATGTATTCAACTATAACCTGGCCTAGATAAAATTTATTTTACATTGGAATTGTATTTGTATCCAACACTGCAGATTAAAGCTACAATTATTGATCGTTATAATTGCAACAGTGAAAGTGAATCAGAAACTAGAGTATTACTAGAGGCGCATTAATGGTGAAGAGGTGACTAATCAAGGTGATAAAAGCTCAAAGCTCGTAGTTTTTGTTATGATAAAAGGAAAACAAGTGATTCTGATAACAAGTGGCAGTTGTTACCTGGCAACGTTTAAAAAATCGATTGCCCGACCCTCAGCCCCGTCGACAATGTCAAAAAGCTGGAATTAATTACTGGTTCGTTTTAAAAAAATTACATCTGCCTACTTATTTTAATTATGATAAATTGGATTAATTCAAATTAATTTCTTATTACAATAACGGGGTAATATTGTCTTAAATATTCACAATTTCTTCTAATATTCCATCAAAAACAATTTTTCTAAATATAGTAGCCAGCTTCTTCATCTTTAAATAGAGAAATTAATGAAATCTAGAAATGAAACTTTGAATTACTTGACCTCTGCCCATATTATGAACAAGAATATAATCGACGTGGTGTTTTACGAAACAATAATAATATAATATAACCGTGGTCATCTTCCTGGTTCCCGTTGATTTTCCTTGACGTTTTGCTGCTCATGCTGTCAGCTTCTTCAGAAGGAATCTGATAACGTCGAGGAAGATAAACCGACCACTAGGAAACCCGGAAGAAGATTTTCCAGTAAATGAAACATTATTTACTTAAAAGATTTGAGTAAAAAAAAAGCGCAAAAAAAATTGATAAACTGAAAATTCCACAACAAAAGCTCTGGATTGTGGGCCAATAAAAAAAAAACAACGCAAGAATATATAATTTTCAATTTCTGAACATTCCGGACATTGAATTGGGCATAACTTTCATTCCTTCTTCAACAGTGTAAAATTAAATTATTTAATGACACTGACGAGTACTCGGGAAATGTTCCAGATAATAATAAACCATTTTTGGAGATAGCCAACATCAGCAAACGTCAAATTCCATTTTTCTTTTCTTCCGACGTTACAAAATTTGGGAAAAAGTTCTATAAAAAAAAAGGTTCAAGAAATTTTTGATTTTTATAAATACCAACCTTTTTATCACCAAGATTTTATATCGTAATTATTTATTATATTTCTAATATTTCTTTATGTACTTCAAAAGCACTTTTTTTGTTAATTCAGTCGGACCTAATATACTAAATTAATTAGGTACTGTTTTAATCGTTTCTACAATAATTTGTTCAACATTTTTTTCTGAGTGCGAATATTAAGGAATATGTAATTGTATTTCGGTATATCTATACATGAAATATTTATAATAGTAAGAAATTAAAAAAAATAAAGAAACACTTGGTACTGTTTTACTTTTATAAAGTGAGTGATGCTACAAAATAGCATAATGGTCATGTTGAAAATTTATTATCTTCTGCTTGATATAGGGGTAGATTGATTATTAGGGGGTTGCAGCACTCTGACAATCTAATTTGAGGTTTCGACGCTGTACCCTTCTCGTTTATAATTACCCTTAATATTTTGCATGATCAATCAATATGATTAATCTTTTCGAAAATACGTAACAATTATTTCAGTTAACTAAGGTTTTATATAATATTGTGGAAATTAACATCGGGTTTAATTTATAAAGGAAATCATTACATTAAAAATTATGTAAAAAAAATACTATCAAAAAGTGCTTTTTGCAGTTTTTAGCAATTTTATGCAATATTATTCTTGAAAGAACAACAATAAAAATACTGAAAACCTAAACCCTTTAACGTTAAATTAGACCTGATCTCTAGTTAAGGATGATACATATGGTCTCGCAGCTAGTCTTATATTTTTAAACGGATTACACACCTATTTCAGTGCATTTCTTTGAAGCATTTTAAGATCTAAACTAGTAAAAGTATGTTAATTGGAGTAAAAGTGAAAACCTTCTGGCAAGATTTCTCATAAAAACCAAGAAATCCACAGGTTTTCTTCACGCATTATAAATAACTTTTATTGGCTATAAAAATTAAGAATTTGCAAAACAAGGTTTAAAAGTTATTGTATTTTTAGGTACCCACCTACGACGAACCGTACGTATTGGTTCATTATTGTTTTAATGTAAAATTAATGACCTTTACGAACCACTTTACACTGCCTAATTTTTATCTGCATTAAAAGGGAAATACCAAGCAATTTTAGTTGACATAAACGTCCATTCGATATGGACAAAGCAAAAAGGAGAAAAACCTCCCGATCTCGAAAATTTTCCTGGTAGTCGCAATGACAGTTTGATGGCGCCACAATCGAAAACCCCGTGAACCAGATTAACTAGCAAAGATAACGCAATTTCCATCGAAATTAGCGATGTATGATACTTACCCAACAGGAGCAGCTTGATATCCTTGGCAGCCTGGATACCATCCTCTTTGAGGTTCTTTTCGATTTGCTTGCTCCTTGCCAACGCGGCGCGCTCCTCCGCTGAAGAAGTGCACCCCATTCTGCACACGCCCTCCGTACAAAACGTCGTGCCGGCTTTCCCAAACCACCCTACGCACGAAAATTGACGGGGCAGCTTCCTAACGGCCGCCACCTTTTAAGTAACAACTAACCGCCCTAAAATACGCGACCTATTCGCAACCACTAACACCTGTACGCCAGGGTCGAAACCACCCCGCGAAAACACGTATCAGCCGGCATCCCTTTATGTTTCACCATAGATTGCCACCTGTTACTTTTTAATGTCCTATTTTCAATACGCGTTTTCTTAACTAGTCGATCCTGTTGCTTTTTGCACGATGGGGGACGTGGAAATCGGCGATCGACGACGTCGGGCAGGGTCGCGGGAGTCGCTGTCGTCGCCCGATATTCACGCACGCACTCGTTCGATGCCAGGCGTCGCGATGCCGCGCGTGCGCGACCCACCCGAGACGCGTACGCGACGCTGCAGACGCGCATTTGGTCGAACCACAAACAACAGATACGAAGATGGAAACGAATTAAAATCGAGAAAGCGTCGAAATGCAAAATAAACTTGCTTTACTACATGGTGGAAATCCTCGGCGAAGTTAGCGTGGGAAATGAAAGAAGGTCAAATATCGAATCGAATTTTCGTGGTAAACCGCCGAAGCACTACGACATCTTCTGGTAGCACGAAAAATCGGTGTTAGTTTTTCTTTTAATACCGCGTAGAAATTTCTTTCCTAAATGTGTATCGTGAAATGTACTTTGATTAAAAATATATTTTTGGGACAATCAAAAGGAATGATTCATAATTTCGCGTCCTTTTTAGCCAGTTTTCAAATTTAGATGCGCAAACTTTCGCTCATTAGAGAGATTGAAACCACAACTTTAATTTGTATGATTTATATGTAGATAAGCGCAGTAAAAGGTATCCTAAGATTACATGTGCTTTTAGTTTTGACGAAGATGTGTTTTGCTAAATTGAAAGAAATAATTCATAATTTCCGGTCCTTTTAACCAATTTTCGAATTTGGACGCACAATATTGCGCTCTTTTCGGTGGTTTAAACAGAGGCGATTATAAGGTGACGGAAGCGATGCGCTCTGCATTAGCCCCCCCGACTCATGGACCCCGCAAGCGGTTACGTATTTTTTATGAAAAGGGTCCCAAAAAAAATCGTCCCGAATGTCAAAGTTGACCACTACACAGAGAAAGAGTTACATTTTGGAAAAATTTGAACTAGATCTGACTTTCACGCAAAGTAAAATTGATAAAACATGTGCGTCCACCTAAAATTGTGGCTGNTTAAATGAAAAAGTTATTTAGATTATTATTATTTTTTTTTTGATAAGGGAAAGTGGGTCAAATTTTTCAAAATGGTAAATTTTCTTCAATAAATGAAGATTTGTAGAGAAAAAGGATTTCTTTCGTGTCCACTTTTAAGATAGAAAAATTGCATTGAAGTTTTTGGAAAAGACGCCTTTTTATTGTTATTAATCCCAGCATGTACCTACAAATCCAAAAGTGCTGTGTATATTTATACGGTCGTGAATTACATTTTTCTTTTTATTTCAGACTATAAACAATATTCTTCTTGTTTCAGCATTCCGAACAGTTTGCCTATGAACGAAAATTGCTTACACACCACTGCCATAAAAATAATTTGGACTGCACTTTAGATTTACAAAGAAAGGTAGGTAGGATTTTATTTAACTTTTAATCTTTTCCCTTATTAAACCAGCTGAAAATACCAAAATGTATTAAAGTTGTTGTGAGGCAATAATGAAGAGAATTTTACCGTGGGAAATTATAGGGGTGGACTTCCACGACCATGTAGGTAAGTAACTGTGGAATTTTTTTAGACAACAAAAAAATATTAGATATTTCTGGAGATGTAAAGAGCACAGGGGGACCTTTTACGTTTTCATTTGTTCATTTTTTAACTTACAAATGTAATTTATGATTAAAAGATTTCTCACTAGTCTCACTACTGCTCAAATTTCACGTAAAACTGAGCAACAATAGTAATTCACATGCGTCGACGCAAATTAGAAAAGTAAACGTTCAACTATTGGAATTCGCACGGCCAACTTATTGTCATCCAGTGTCACTGTCACAAACTGAACAATGAAATGTTCCTGTCTCTGCAATACACATTTGGTTTAAGTAAGCTAATTTAGCTGTGACGCTTCCCAGTTATGCGGGACACTCTCAGTTTCCTCTGGCATCCGGACGCCGCGCAGCTGGGCACCGCTAGATTTTCGCGACGCTGGTCATCGCGTTGTCCGCTTGTTCGTCTTTTTTTTTTTTTTTTAACTGAACCTGATCGTCCGCATAAAACAACTCGCCATGTACGAGATAGTGCACGATTTAAACAACGCCATCACGTGGTTACCGCTAACGTAAAACTAAAATGTACATTGGAGCATCAGTTGTTAGATCCTCTTCAAAATGCACATGCTCATGCTATACTTATAATCTAAGTGTGTACACATATGTTACACGCGACTTCATTACGTGTGTACATAATATGCATATGTGTACGCATATGTACGTCTGACTCATATGTTATGTACCTACATTACTACCAAAAATATAAAATACAGTAACGAACGTTCAGCCGAGCGTCAGTGTAAGTTTTGCAGGAGGTGGTAGGTAATCAGTGAAGACTGACATTGAGGTTTTTTTTTCATTATCAGAAATTTTTTTGGCTGCAGTTTAGTACCAGCAAGGACTTCCAGACGCACAAACCTCACCTATACATGTAGGGATGACTCTAAAGTCTCTCAAATAAAATACATTTTGCACTTAAACTACTAATCAATTTTCAGTAATTATTTATTCTTCAACAACATTACTATATCGCTCACTAAATCGCTTCTTCGCCTTTCTTGTTTCTCCTTCTGTCGCCTGGTAGCTAAAATTGCCCTCTTTTCTAAAAAAACTTTTGGGTGTTTCATTCCCACCAGCCACCAATGCTGGTGGACGGTCCGGTCCCTCTGGACCATGTCGGAAGGCCCTCTTCAGCCTCAGCCTTCAGGTTNTAAGGTACTTTATTTAATTAATTGGTCTTAAAAATTAACATATTTTATACAAATGTTAGTTGCTCATGGAATTAAGTAAACCTAAGATATAGCTCCCCAAACCTTCATCTTGATTAGTCCACGAAACGAAAACACTCTTTTGTTCTTCGTCGTCCCCTTCTACTTTTACCAACACAGATTCCAACGAAATAGATCCATCGGTAAACGTCACCGACCACATAGGCAACCGGTCTTTGATTAAGAGATGTAGTTTATGAGCTGTAGCCATAGCAGGTCCAGGATCATTTACATGTACTGTAGAAGTAAATCTAATCACATGTCTTGTGATTCCCGCTTCTTTACAAGCTTCATCTACATCCATAAGACAAGTGGAATTGTCTTTCATCAGTAGTACACCATGCAGAACTCTTTGCCTTTTTGACTCTGATGGTAAAGCGCTAAATTTTTTCGCCTCTGCCTTTAAAAGCGGAAGAGAAACATCTATCGGGATTCTAACAGGAGTATTTATCACGCATGTTTCACCATTGGCAGGATTAAAACATTCCAAGTTGAATTCTTGTTTAATTTTGCCCTTTAAAAATTCCATTTTGGCTGGTTCTCCGTGGACCAACATTACGTTTCGTGGTTCGCAGTACTGAATGAGTTGCATAATTCCTTTAGCGTCTGCATGGGCCGAAAAGGACATGTACTCCACGGACATTTTCACTTCAATAATCTGTCTGCCTTCGAACTCTATCTTGCGAGCACCATTTAAGATTTTGTGTCCAACTGTGCCCTGTACACAAAATCCAGGAAGTATAACCATGTTGGATTCATTAGATGACCATTTTTTAAAAATGTGTAAACTAAGACCTGCATGTAACATTCCTGGTGTAGCAAAAACTACCATTGGCCCTGGGTTATCAATGTACTGCCTGTTAAAAAAGAAAACGTTATTCACATAAAATTCACAGTTTAGATTTTTTACTGTATTTCTAGTAGTTAAGTAAGCATATTAGAAAAAGGGCATAAGGACGGTATCTTTTAAAAATATTTTAATTTTACCTATCAAATGGTTTGATATGTTTAAAGTCAAACATGTTTCTCTGCACAAATGTTTTTCTGATCTTCTGATTAGTCCAAGTTATAAACATTTTATAGTAGTTATTTGCTTTTTCAGTTAAACCAACAGCAAAGTATACTGGTGCCTTCAAATTCATGCGCTCCCAATAAGTTTCCAGTAATATACAAAGTTCTTGTGCTCTGCCTAATGCAAAAACAGGTATCAGAACCTTTCCTCCACGATCTATACACTCATGAACTTTTTTCAGGAAGTCTCTTTCTCTACATCTTTTGGAATCTCTTATTGTAGTTGCATAAGTTGATTCACTTATAAGCAAATCTGGTCTACATTTATCAATCCAGGCAGCACCTACAATAATTAAACATTTTACAATGCATCAATTAAATTTAAAAGAAATTATGTACCTAGATGACGGTCTGGAGTCATGTTATAATCACCAGTATAAACAACTGATTGTGACCCAACTCGTATCCAAAACATAGCTGCCCCAAGAACATGCCCAGCATAATAAGCTTTAATTTCCAAATCATTGTCTACCATCACACTTTGATGTAATGTTACAGCAATCACTTTTTTCATACACTCTTTTATCATTTGTGAGGTAAAAAAGTTTTGATCTCCTTTCCTCTCCACTGACACTTTTCTCATATCTTCCAAGAGTATTGGAGCTATTGCTTTAGTGGGATGAGTCATATAAATAGGGCCACTGTAACCCACCATTTCAGACATGTATGGTAATGCTCCACAATGATCTAAATGAAAATGAGAAATGATGACACAGTCTATATAGGGAGTAATGGGGCCTTCAGGACATATAAAAGAAAAGTCCGGAAATCTACGTTCATCGTTGTAACCCATATGCATTCCGCAATCCAACATTATATTTTTTCCCCCCATTGAAAGTAAAATGCAACTTCGTCCAACGTCTTGACCGGCTCCTAAAGGGGTAATCTTTATCTCAGGCATTACCGCTATAGTTAAGAGTTCGCTAATAAAAATATGCACCGCTGTATATATCTAAACATTAATAGAAAACTAGGTGATTAAAATGTTTACATTACTATTCATTATTTTGCAATTTTCTTTCCACTTATTACTTATAAATTGTTAAGTTATACACAATAATTGTAGGTTATGATCATGTTATGATTATGGACATAGATAATATTATGGACAAGGCCATAGATAGTGAACATAGATAATAATGAGCATGAACCATAGGCATGAACAATATCTATGGTTAGGAACATGGACATAACATGAAAGATGAACAACAAATGAACTTAAAATGAACATAGACAAACATAGATAACGTATAGGTTATAATTCCTTTCGTTCGTATTTCTTCATTTAATTTCTGTTGACATTAATAGTGAATAATAACATGAACGAAATATGTAATTAAATTTATGTATAAGAAATGGTAATATTATGTTATATAAATGCACTGTATGTTAATCACCATTCGTATAGTTTGAGGGAGAAATAGAACCGCCACCAATTCTTTTGGATGTAGAAAAGGAACTAGAGGAATATTTAATAAATCCCGAAAGACTTTCCATTCATGAATATGAACGAAATCAAGAACACTGGCCACGAGAAATCGATGTATCATCTTTATTTGTTTATGATATATCACCACTATCGACCACTCTTAAAGTATGTTTCAGTGTAAGATGTGAAATGAATTATTAATTTTAACCAATAAATATAGGTGCAACGTGACTATACGACAGGAGAGATTGTTGAATTTTGTGAAGTTCCTATTGATAGTGCTACAGCTTCATCTAAAAATTCGATGATGTTAACTCGAGCTCCTGCAGCACCTGAAGACGTTGTATTTGGAAATATATCAAACATTCCCTTTTTACCTGGAAGCTTTATTGATCCCCTAGAACAATTAAAATATCAGAGTGAAACTGACAAAAAAGAAGCTGAAGGTTCTAGTACCATAATAAACTAAAAATAATGTACTATTTTAAATTACTTTTATTCATTCAAACAGATTTATTGATTGTACCACCTGGCTTTGAAAGTGGTCTAATATTTGATACTGATGGAATTACTGTAAAAGGACTGAGTGGAGATAACAGTCTTAAAAATTCCGTCAATTTTGGTGATGATAAAAATATATTAGATTTGCTAGATGTTCTTGATAAAGAACAAGATTTTACAGGTAATTTTTTTTTGTATCTCTTCTAATGATAATGACCTTTGGTATATGTTTTTACAGAATTGTTAGAAAAGCCTGAGAATTCAGAAAACTCATTAACTCAAGTTGAATCAGATTTTACTACATTACCTGGTGAAGAGGAAGCTTTGAAAGATATACCAGTTTTAAAAATTAGTGAAACTGTTCCAAGGCAGTCTCGAGAAGGCACTGAATGGGCTATACTACTTGACACATCAAAAGCTGTAGATAATTTTAAGGAAAAAGTACCTCATTTAGCTCATAATTTTGATTTTGAATTGGACACCTTTCAAAAATTGGCAATTATGCAGCTTGAAGAGCATAACCATGTATTTGTAGCTGCTCATACATCTGCTGGTAAAACTGTAGTAGCTGAATATGCCATTGCTCTATCCCAAAAACATATGTCCAGGACCATTTATACCTCTCCCATTAAGGCTCTTTCAAATCAGAAATATCGCGATTTTAAGAGAACATTTAAAGATGTAGGTCTCATTACTGGGGATTTTCAAATCAATCAGACTGCATCTTGTCTCATAATGACCACTGAGATTTTGAGATCTATGCTCTATCGAGGAAGTGATATTGCCAGAGATCTTGAGTACGTAATCTTTGATGAAGTGCATTACATAAATGATAAAGAAAGAGGTCATGTTTGGGAACAGGTACTTACATAAATATAATAATTATACCATGAAAGTATTTGCTAGTTAATAAGTTTATCTGTGTACCAAAAATTAATTAATTATGTTTTACATACTTCGGCAGTACAGTAATTATTTTAACTCTGATTTCCAAGTGAATATAAAACTTCAATTACAATATTTGTAATCATTTACGAAATTTAAATTTAATAAAACATTTTAATATGTAGGTACTTATAATGTTACCACCCCACGTTTGCGTCGTACTGCTGAGCGCTACTGTCCCAAATACCACAGAATTTGCAGATTGGTTGGGAAGGACACATCAGAGAAAAGTATACGTTATCAAAACGGACAAAAGACCGGTTCCGCTACAGCATTATTTATACACAGGATGTNATTATTTATAACAAGTTTAAATTTGTTTAATCACTTTCTCTGTTTTAAAAATTGTTTGAAAAATTAAATTTAAAGGAATTGTTTGTAAATAGGTATGCAACACATCGTACACCTCAGCATAAGAAATTCCTGATACTAACTACGTAATACTACTTTGCCCTTCTCTTATATAAAACAATAAAATATGCTTTTTTCTAATCAAATAAATTAGCGCCTTTTAGGTAACTTTTTCTTTTCAAGGTTTAAAGATAAAACTCCAGGTCAGACATGTTCTGCAGCCGTACAAGAACTTTACAAATTGTCCATAGGAACTAAAGGAATGGGCGTTCCTGAACAAAAAATAAATTACCTAACTTTCATGGAGGATTTGAAAGTGAAGGAACTGGAACTCGTAGAGAAAGTTCAAAAATTATGCAAATTAAAAGAAATTGTTCTCGACCATGTAGGAAGCACCAAGATAGCTAATTTTAAAGAACAATTTCAAGAAGTTTTTCTTAGAAATTCACTTGAAGATCGTCGAACGTTGCTTAAATGTCAGTTATCAAATGCTAGTTTAACTTTATATCCCGATTATGAAAACAGAATTCATTTATTAAAAAGGCTGAAGTACGTCGACTCTCAGAATAAAGGTATGACGAATTTTTATTAAAAAAGATTCATTAATAAGAAAATCGGTTACTAAGTAACAATAGATGAATATAAATAGTAGTTTTAGGCATGGTAAAATTTAAAAGAAAAGTGGTTTTACATTGTCTTTCACTAGATCAATAGTGATAGTGATGAAAGTTGATATGTGAAAAGCTTTAATGATTACTCCAAATTAACTATTTTTTGTTAAAAATTGAATATTTTTTTTCTTAAAAACAGTTAAAATAGTATACCTCAGTATAGTGATAAAGTTTATTTATACCGAGACTATTCCTCAAAATCACAGGAATGCAATTACCACAAAGATTAAAATTATTCTTCACGTATGTTTTTATAAGCGTACTTATATGTCTAATACAATTTAAAACTAGAAATAATTGAAAATGGTAATTTTGTTGGGTATAAACAAAAATTATTGGTTATTAATTTGTAGCATTTTTCATTGGTTGTGGCGTTTTTTATTTTTATCATTTATTAGATAAAGCGTTAGATTTTCTTTGCAGTTGAACTGAAAGGTGTTGTTGCTTGTGAAATGGGAATGCACGAACTCCTTATAACTGAGCTAATTTTAAGAAATTATTTAACAAAACTACAACCTGCTGTGATAGCTGCACTCTTAAGTTCTCTCGTTTTCCAAGCGAAAACTAGAGAAGAACAGTCGATATCGGAAGAACTGAAAGCCGTCAGTATTTTCTTTATAATAAATATGTACTTGTGGATCTCAATGTATGAGAATTTTTCTTATTTCCAGGGAATTGAAATAATTAAAGATGTGGCTCATGAAATTAGGTATTTAGAAATGTATTATAAGATTAGAGATGAAAGTAACGACAATGAGCTTAATTTTGGTTTGGTGCAAGTTGTCTATGAATGGGCTACAGGCAAAGTAAATTTTATTGCATAAATGTGTAACAAATTTTTTACTATAAGTCATGTTTTTTAAAGCCATTTGCAGAAATAATGGAATTAACAGATGTCCAGGAGGGTATAATAGTTCGCTGCATACAGCAGTTAAATGAAATTATTTCGAAAGTAAAAGATGCAGCCAAGTATATTGGAGATCCCGAGTTAAAAAATAAAATGGAAGAGGCCTCTACAGCAATTAAAAGAGACATAGTTTTTGCTGCCAGTCTTTATACTCAAAAAGAGGCAGCAGCCATTTGAATTTACCGTTGTATAGGTAAGCAACTAGAACTGAAACAGCTTTATTGTAAAATTCAGTGTAAGTATAATACACATAACTAATATTAATTTTTTCCTTTAGTTAAAGTAAAAAAAAATAGATTAATGTCTACCAGAGGAAAGTACCTCTGGTGTGCAGCATAGCTCTAATAGTGTATCAAATTATTAATTATAAATTTAAACAATTTTTGTTTTTTGTGTAATTAATTAATGTGGCTGCATGTAATTTTGAGTCTTGAAATACACACAAAATATTAAGGAAACATTATAAATTTCATATTCTACTTTTTTGAACCAAAAGTTTTGTGCCTTTTTATTCAATTTTAAGCTTATGATCANTCATGACCATGACATGAACATGACAGGAGATCTACAACGTGCAAATGACAAGTACAATCCATAGATACTGCATTGTATAAATGGTGGATAGAGGCTCAATAGAATGACAACAGCAACAAATTTTTCCTCATTAATTTGAGGAAGTGTGTAGTGGGTAAAAATTCTGAAATGAATTTTCAAGAATAATATTTCATATAATGAATATCATGTCCGGTTTATGTAATTTGCGGCGTATTATCTCTCGTTGACATTTCTTTGCAGGTTTACAAATTAAGAACAGATACTATTAATTATCTTTCTTATTTGCTGTTATTGTTATATACATACGTCTATTGTTAGTACTTAAATTACCACAACAAAGTGAGCATCATTTGCAGAAAACAGTACATTTAGCGGGATTTAACAAAGCGAAATAGAATACTGACCAACAGAAACTTCTTATTTTGCTATTATTTGTCGGTAACTTCGTTAGTACCGTGGACAAGGTTAATAAGCTAGTACCTGTTACCGAAGTACCATTATTACTTGGTACCAAAATACCATTAGTATCATTTATTACTGTACCATCGATAATCCACAGTTTTCGAATAGTTCAGAATTTAATTTAACTAGCGTATCATATTCGACATGTTCTAAAATTAAAAAAATAAATAATTTCTTTTAAATGCTTTATTTAAAAACACGATAGTTTGTTTAACAGAGACACTTTCGGATTTTAGGTTGTCTTCTTATCTATGGTCAATGCATGTTAGCCATAAATTAGAAATATATAATACTGTACTCTATAATATCCTTCTCTATGATAATATCCCTTAACTATGACGTTAACTGTAAGTTAACCTCAGTTAACCTGCTACAATAATGTTTACGCTTTAATTTTACAGCAAATATGATAAATTCACCTTTTCTGCAGAAAACAAAAACCTTTTTTAAAAAAACTGTAGTGGTTAATTATGCCTTACAATCACAAAAGAGTGCCTCAAAACTAAAACACTCAGCCCCAACAGCATCCTCTGTTCTCACGTCTTATCTTAAACAACGTAAAGAACCCCCTTGGACTTCCTATTTTATAAGAGTAGGGTTTTGAACTATTCCAGAGATATTCATATTTTATCACTGTTTTTCTTAAAGTATATTGATATAGAAGATGATCAGTTTGGCATGTCACACTTTAACTGGAAAGTGGGAAATTCTAATTATCACATACTAAGAACAGGATGTTTTCCTTATATAAAATATCATTGTACAAAACGACCATACCAAGATTTAAGTGTAGAAGACCTGTTCTTTCGCCTTGTTAAATTGATGAACTTAGGTATAAAATATAAACACTCATTTTCTATGCCGTATGTGGATACATGGGTGTTTTTTAGGAATACCTTGCCTTCTATATGGAATTGCTGCAATAATGATGATAAGTCATTCAGAAATTGTTAATACTCCAAATGGCAGGGTAACAATTTTCTTTCTGATACCTGAAAACAAAGATTCAAACTACTAACTATAAAATACAAATTGTTTTGTGCATAAAATACATATTATGGTTATCAACTTAATTATTTAATGAATTACATACCTGTGACCAATAAATACCAGCAGATCTATTTTACAAAATATATTAGATAAAAGTTATACATTTTTAGCTAAATTGTTATATAATTGTTGTTACTACTGATTATTTTGCAACAGCAGGTACTACTAAATATTTAGAACATAGTGTAACAGTGAATTTGATTTCATTTGTTTAATAATTTTTACTTTATTTGTTTCACTTTAACTAACAAAATATTATGATTAATCAACAACCAACTTTTCTGACTCTCCTGGTTCCTCCGGAATTTTGAATTTGGCAGAAAAAATTCAAACGGAAACAGCGACCTCTTCTGTCAACTTCGGTAACGTGCGGATAAACTTACTAGTTGATATTATTTTATGGAATTATCCTGAAAATTACTTACTTTATCTATGTTAATTACAGTATCTGTCTTTAATTATCATTTTTTTAAATCGACATCAACAACCAACGACGATTTCGCAAAACAATGTAATACATATTAAATATAATACGTACCACTATCTTTGTATATCTTTTATCTATGGACGAGATTAACAAATTTATAATGACGTCGATGACGTATTTCCTTCTTGTTCACCCTTCACCGTCTGCTTCTGCTTGTGCGCTGCACTTTCTCTCTTCGGCGTTGGGGGTTTGACGTTTTGTGTGCTTTTTTGATAAAAGATTTAAAAATGTAATAATGCATACAAAATTTATATCCCTATACGCCCTGGAATTACGGCTTTATCTGTGGTATGTATTTTAATTATCGGGTATGGGATTATTTTTACGATTCGCATTAATTATGTTTCTAAATACGTACGGAGTTCACTCGGCCATATTTGATAATCTGGAACAGGCCTAGAATGTGGCTTATGTAAATCGATCGATTTTGTGAAAAATAATAGCAATCAATTCGTTCATTATAAATAAATTGATTTTATAAAATAATTCAGTTTCTACAAAATTATTATTTTTGGTTTTCACTTTTTTTTTTCTCTTTTTGCAGATGCAATTGGGAATAATTTTTTTCCTGCCTTTTCCAAACGAATTTTTCCTTCAGCAGTTCAACCTACTGGTAAAGTGTGACAGTGGATTCGCTTTCTAAGTCTTAAAGGACTTTGTTGTGGAGAGGTGAGATAATTTTCATAATTCGACTGTTTTACTTGCTTTCTGGTCTGTTTTTAGGTGTTCTTAATCCCTTCCTTAATTAATAAGGTTTTTTGTTCATTTCTGCAGATTATCCAAGAAAAGAGAGAGACTTGAAGTCAACTTGGTCATACTGAAACAAGCAATGGGTTTCATCTTTCCTGGACTATATTCTTGATTTGCTGCTTTGTCTTCATCTTCAACCATTATGCAGTCAATTTTCAACCGACGAGTGAGAGCAATTGGAGGTTTTTTGAGTTCTTCTGAAACAACGAATTTTCTGCTATGGTATTTCTCCTGGATTTATTGTGCTTTTTACANATCTTTTAAAAATATTTTAATTTTACCTATCAAATGGTTTGATATGTTTAAAGTCAAACATGTTTCTCTGCACAAATGTTTTTCTGATCTTCTGATTAGTCCAAGTTATAAACATTTTATAGTAGTTATTTGCTTTTTCAGTTAAACCAACAGCAAAGTATACTGGTGCCTTCAAATTCATGCGCTCCCAATAAGTTTCCAGTAATATACAAAGTTCTTGTGCTCTGCCTAATGCAAAAACAGGTATCAGAACCTTTCCTCCACGATCTATACACTCATGAACTTTTTTCAGGAAGTCTCTTTCTCTACATCTTTTGGAATCTCTTATTGTAGTTGCATAAGTTGATTCACTTATAAGCAAATCTGGTCTACATTTATCAATCCAGGCAGCACCTACAATAATTAAACATTTTACAATGCATCAATTAAATTTAAAAGAAATTATGTACCTAGATGACGGTCTGGAGTCATGTTATAATCACCAGTATAAACAACTGATTGTGACCCAACTCGTATCCAAAACATAGCTGCCCCAAGAACATGCCCAGCATAATAAGCTTTAATTTCCAAATCATTGTCTACCATCACACTTTGATGTAATGTTACAGCAATCACTTTTTTCATACACTCTTTTATCATTTGTGAGGTAAAAAAGTTTTGATCTCCTTTCCTCTCCACTGACACTTTTCTCATATCTTCCAAGAGTATTGGAGCTATTGCTTTAGTGGGATGAGTCATATAAATAGGGCCACTGTAACCCACCATTTCAGACATGTATGGTAATGCTCCACAATGATCTAAATGAAAATGAGAAATGATGACACAGTCTATATAGGGAGTAATGGGGCCTTCAGGACATATAAAAGAAAAGTCCGGAAATCTACGTTCATCGTTGTAACCCATATGCATTCCGCAATCCAACATTATATTTTTTCCCCCCATTGAAAGTAAAATGCAACTTCGTCCAACGTCTTGACCGGCTCCTAAAGGGGTAATCTTTATCTCAGGCATTACCGCTATAGTTAAGAGTTCGCTAATAAAAATATGCACCGCTGTATATATTTAAACATTAATAGAAAACTAGGTGATTAAAATGTTTACATTACTATTCATTATTTTGCAATTTTCTTTCCACTTATTACTTATAAATTGTTAAGTTATACACAATAATTGTAGGTTATGATCATGTTATGATTATGGACATAGATAATATTATGGACAAGGCCATAGATAGTGAACATAGATAATAATGAGCATGAACCATAGGCATGAACAATATCTATGGTTAGGAACATGGACATAACATGAAAGATGAACAACAAATGAACTTAAAATGAACATAGACAAACATAGATAACGTATAGGTTATAATTCCTTTCGTTCGTATTTCTTCATTTAATTTCTGTTGACATTAATAGTGAATAATAACATGAACGAAATATGTAATTAAATTTATGTATAAGAAATGGTAATATTATGTTATATAAATGCACTGTATGTTAATCACCATTCGTATAGTTTGAGGGAGAAATAGAACCGCCACCAATTCTTTTGGATGTAGAAAAGGAACTAGAGGAATATTTAATAAATCCCGAAAGACTTTCCATTCATGAATATGAACGAAATCAAGAACACTGGCCACGAGAAATCGATGTATCATCTTTATTTGTTTATGATATATCACCACTATCGACCACTCTTAAAGTATGTTTCAGTGTAAGATGTGAAATGAATTATTAATTTTAACCAATAAATATAGGTGCAACGTGACTATACGACAGGAGAGATTGTTGAATTTTGTGAAGTTCCTATTGATAGTGCTACAGCTTCATCTAAAAATTCGATGATGTTAACTCGAGCTCCTGCAGCACCTGAAGACGTTGTATTTGGAAATATATCAAACATTCCCTTTTTACCTGGAAGCTTTATTGATCCCCTAGAACAATTAAAATATCAGAGTGAAACTGACAAAAAAGAAGCTGAAGGTTCTAGTACCATAATAAACTAAAAATAATGTACTATTTTAAATTACTTTTATTCATTCAAACAGATTTATTGATTGTACCACCTGGCTTTGAAAGTGGTCTAATATTTGATACTGATGGAATTACTGTAAAAGGACTGAGTGGAGATAACAGTCTTAAAAATTCCGTCAATTTTGGTGATGATAAAAATATATTAGATTTGCTAGATGTTCTTGATAAAGAACAAGATTTTACAGGTAATTTTTTTTTGTATCTCTTCTAATGATAATGACCTTTGGTATATGTTTTTACAGAATTGTTAGAAAAGCCTGAGAATTCAGAAAACTCATTAACTCAAGTTGAATCAGATTTTACTACATTACCTGGTGAAGAGGAAGCTTTGAAAGATATACCAGTTTTAAAAATTAGTGAAACTGTTCCAAGGCAGTCTCGAGAAGGCACTGAATGGGCTATACTACTTGACACATCAAAAGCTGTAGATAATTTTAAGGAAAAAGTACCTCATTTAGCTCATAATTTTGATTTTGAATTGGACACCTTTCAAAAATTGGCAATTATGCAGCTTGAAGAGCATAACCATGTATTTGTAGCTGCTCATACATCTGCTGGTAAAACTGTAGTAGCTGAATATGCCATTGCTCTATCCCAAAAACATATGTCCAGGACCATTTATACCTCTCCCATTAAGGCTCTTTCAAATCAGAAATATCGCGATTTTAAGAGAACATTTAAAGATGTAGGTCTCATTACTGGGGATTTTCAAATCAATCAGACTGCATCTTGTCTCATAATGACCACTGAGATTTTGAGATCTATGCTCTATCGAGGAAGTGATATTGCCAGAGATCTTGAGTACGTAATCTTTGATGAAGTGCATTACATAAATGATAAAGAAAGAGGTCATGTTTGGGAACAGGTACTTACATAAATATAATAATTATACCATGAAAGTATTTGCTAGTTAATAAGTTTATCTGTGTACCAAAAATTAATTAATTATGTTTTACATACTTCGGCAGTACAGTAATTATTTTAACTCTGATTTCCAAGTGAATATAAAACTTCAATTACAATATTTGTAATCATTTACGAAATTTAAATTTAATAAAACATTTTAATATGTAGGTACTTATAATGTTACCACCCCACGTTTGCGTCGTACTGCTGAGCGCTACTGTCCCAAATACCACAGAATTTGCAGATTGGTTGGGAAGGACACATCAGAGAAAAGTATACGTTATCAAAACGGACAAAAGACCGGTTCCGCTACAGCATTATTTATACACAGGATGTGGAGGAAAAAGCAGAGATAACAGATATTTAATACAAGCTGGGAACGGTCAATTCGTCCTCGCGGGGTAATTTATGATTTATTACAATCAGTGTTTTGAAGAATTTAAGGCTTTTCGAAAATTGTTTTGTACCTATCCGAATTTAACACTTAACACACACTAAAATTTACCAACATAAAAAAGAATACTTAAACGACTTATGTAATTATTTTTTCAATATTTTTTAAAATCTGTATTAGTGAACNAGATAAGCGCAGTAAAAGGTATCCTAAGATTACATGTGCTTTTAGTTTTGACGAAGATGTGTTTTGCTAAATTGAAAGAAATAATTCATAATTTCCGGTCCTTTTAACCAATTTTCGAATTTGGACGCACAATATTGCGCTCTTTTCGGTGGTTTAAACAGAGGCGATTATAAGGTGACGGAAGCGATGCGCTCTGCATTAGCCCCCCCGACTCATGGACCCCGCAAGCGGTTACGTATTTTTTATGAAAAGGGTCCCAAAAAAAATCGTCCCGAATGTCAAAGTTGACCACTACACAGAGAAAGAGTTACATTTTGGAAAAATTTGAACTAGATCTGACTTTCACGCAAAGTAAAATTGATAAAACATGTGCGTCCACCTAAAATTGTGTACAATTTAGTTTATAAAGAAGTTAAGGAGGATTTGTCGATGTTTTTTCGTTTTTCTTTTATAATTTCTTTTATTTAGAAAAAAGTTAAATGAAAAAGTTATTTAGATTATTTTTTTTTTTTTTTTGATAAGGGAAA